GTTAGAACGGGTGTGGGTGTGGGTGTGGGTGTGGGTGGGTGTGGGTGTGGGTGTGGGTGTCGGGTGTGGGTGTGGGTGTGGGTGTGGGTGTGGGTGTCGGGTGTGGGTGTGGGTGTGGGTGTGAGGGTGAACAATCGCTTCAATGACATCCACATCGACACCCACACCGACACCTACACCCATACCCACACCCACCCTCACACCCACATCCACCTACACCCACACCCACACCCGCACTCACCCACACCCACTCCGACATCTACCCACACACCCACACGCACACCCACACGCACACCCACCCACATCCACACCCACACCCACACTCACACTCACACCACCCACACCCTTGCTGTTAGTGTTGGCTTGTTGGTGTGGTGGATATGCAGTCGGACCGCGAGTTAGAAAACTCGTAATGCTTTCCGAGCGAGTATGGGTAGAAATTACTCTTCAGTTTCTCTAGGGCTAATGGAAGGAGTTGATATTTTTCAAATCCCAGACGAATGGTTCAAGCTATGATTAATCTGGCAGATTCACCGACTCGTGCGCGCACGACATTTGCGCGCATTGATATTTCTGCGAATAGTCATTTTCGCGTATCATATTACCGCGTCAACATATACACGAAAAATGAATTCTTTTTCTCTCTTAAATAAATGAATAGTTCCATCCAACTTTCTGAATAATTTGTTCTAATGTTATTGAATTAATTAAACTCATTAGCACCAGTGAAAGAAAAATCTTCTGTCCCATATATTTGAACTAATCTATATAAGTAACGAAAAATATATGAAATAATTGACGAACGCATCAAAGAAATGGTAAAAGATTTTTACATTGTTCCACGTGCAGATTATTTCAAACTGATTAGATCATTCTTTAATTTTTGAATATTTCATTCTCTACTGATTAACTCAGTGGCGGATTTAGAAGGGACGATCATCCCCGGTCTCAAAAATTTTTTCGATTTTTCCCAGCAAAAAAGATCGAAAAATGAATAGGCACCATCTGAAATGAACTCCATGATACTTTTTTGACCACAATTGCCCTTCTTCCGATAAAATCGCCCCTACTCAAAGAAATCCTAGATGCGTCATCGGATTAACTCTAAAACATTATTTTTTCGTTGTCTTTTTTCAATTGTATAATTCGTATTTTTCATGAATATATGTTCAATAAACGGTTATTCAGAAAGTTGGATGGAACTATTAATTTGTTTAAGAGAGAAAAAGGATTCATTTTTCGTGTATATATTGACGCGGTAATATGATACGCGAAAATGACTATTCGCAGAAGTATCAATGCGTGCAAGTGTCGTGCGCGGATGTGTTATGCGCGCAAATGTCGTGCGCGCACGAGTCGGCGCGCAAATGTCATGCGCGCAAGTGTCGTGTCACGATCTGGCAGCACCATTAGATAGAGCGTGTTGAATTCTGCTTCGAACACAAATTGGAACAGTTGAGAGTCGTTGAGACCAAATATGGACTGAAATTACTGCTTGGCTTTCCTAAAGAAAGAGAAGAATCAGTATGCTGGAACTTGCACTGGAATTGACTGCGCTGTTGTGAATTGGTTTCCACCATTGGGCAGAGCATGTTGAACTCTAATTGGAACATTAATGAGAGGTATTATAACAAGTTCTGAGCTGATATGGACACGAATTATTCTCCGATGCCATTAGGGTCAATGAAGAAAAATTGGTATATTCATAAGTCGTGAACAAATGGTTTCAAATATCGTTTATCTTTTTTTACTATTGGATAGAGCATGGGAAATTCTATGTGTAGCACAAATAGGACCGCTGATATCGCGTCTTGAGCGAATATGGGCATGGAATACACTGGAGATTCCCTAAGACACATGAGGAATTCCAGTGATTTTGTAAGTATACACGAATGTTTAGAGATATTGTCAATCCGCGTTGATTATTTGATAGAGCATGCGGCAATCTACATGCGACAGAAATTAGAACACAGAGATCGCTTTCAGAACTAATATCACTGGAGTTGCTCTGCAAGTCTTATGTGGTGCATGGGGAAAAATCAGCATTTTTGGAATTGTACATGAATGGTTGAAGGTATCGTTAATCGGATTTTACCATATGAGAAAGTGTGGTGAGTTTTCCTGGGTACGAAAATGAGAGCACCTTGAAGGTGACCCGAGTGGATATGAACATGAAATACTCTGGCGGGTTGCATAGAAACCATGTGGAAAAATCAGTGATTTTGAAATTGTACACGAATAGTTCGGGGTATCGCCAATCCGACTTTAGTGTTCCATAGAGCATATTGAACTTTATGTGCGACAGAGATGAGAATAGTTGGAACGTGTGTTGAGCGAATATAGATAGGAGTTACTCTGCGAGTGATCTAATGCCTATGGGGAAATATCAGCATTCTCGAAATTGTACATGAAGAGTTGATGTTATCTTTAGTACAATATCACCATCGAATAGAGCATGTTGAATTTTGCTGGGAATAAGACTGAGAGCACTTGGAACGCGTTCTCAGCGATTTCGAGCGAGAATTATTTTCGGGTTCCTAGGATCTAAGCAAAAGGGCAGTATTTTTCAAATTGTACACGAATGGTTGACAACATCATTAATCCGATTTCACCATTCAAGAGACCATGCCCAATTCTTCGTGCCACAGGAATAAGAACTCTTGGGACGTTTCTCGAGGAAACATGGGCTGGAATTACTGTGATAGTTTCCTTCAGCCCATCGATAAAAATCAGAATTTTCAAAATCGTACACGAATGGTTTAAGCTATCGTTAACCAGAGTTCACCATTGGGTAGAAAATGTTGAATTCTACTTAGAACACATTCTGAGCAAACATGGGCGGTAATTGTGCGCCCTGTTCTTTAGAGCACATGGGAAAAAGCACTGGTTTTGAAACTGCACACAAATGGTTCAAGATATCGCCAGTTCGATTCTGGTATTCGGTAAAGCATGCTGAATTCTACTGGGAACACGACTGAGAGCACCGGGAACTCGTCGTCAGCGATTACGAGCAGAAATTATTTCTGGATTCTCAGGTCTAAGCGAACAGTCAGTATTTTTAAAATTGTACACGAATGGTAGGAGGCATCGTCAATCCGATTTGAGTATTCGATAGAGTAGGTTGAGTTCTACGTGCGATGGAAATGGAGCGCTTAGTACACATTCTAAGTGAATATGGGCAGAAATCACTCTGTGAGTTGCCTGGGATTCTTTGGAGAAAATTTGTGTGTTTGAAATTTGTAATCGAATGGATTAAGCTATCGTCAACTGTATTTCACCATTGGATAGAGCATGTTGAATTATACGTGCGACAGAAATAAGAACAGTTGGAATGCATCCTGAGCGAATATGGGCTAGAATTACTCTCCGAATTCCCTAGGGCCAAAGAAAAACATCAATTTTTTTCAACTTCTAATCGAATGGTTTAAGATATCATCAATCCATTTTCGCGATTGAATAGAGCATATTCAATTCTACTTGGGTCATCAATGTAAGTACGTGGCAGGCTTTGCGAACGGATATAGGCTATTGTTACTCTGTGAAAAGCCGAAGACCAAGGGAGAAAGTCAGTGTTCTGGAAAGTGTACACGAATCGTTAGAGGTATTATGAATCCCCTTTCTGCGTTCGATAGAGCATATTGAGGTGTACGTGTATAAAAACTTAGAGCATTTGGAACGTTCTCTGAGTGAATATAGGTAGAGTTACTGCGTGGATTCTCTAGAACCCATAAGGAAAAATCAATATGTTCGAAATGATACACGAATGTTTAAGTTATCGGGAATCCTATTTCAGTATTTGATAGAGTATGTTGAATCCTACTTGTGACAAAAATGAGAATGCCGAAAACGCTCCTAGCACGAGTATGGACAGGAATTACTCAAATCTGGTGCTAACTTCACCTACACAGCAATGAAGGATGTGCGATGTGAGAAAACTGAATACCGACTGACACCGACACTGATGCTCACTGAACACCGATATGTCCACTGATACTGATCACTGATTTACTGACATCATCAGTGTCAGTGATGAATGGTTCTCGGTGACTTCACTGACATATTGATGATGATTACTATTAACTATACTTCATAAGCGGAGTATGATGACATCTTTCGGACAAAATATCTTAATACATGGGATGTTCCCATTGGGTGATAGACTATATAGGCTGAATAGCTAAGCTTATCAAATGTATTTGTTACAACTGACTCTACTTAATGTTAAATTCTATTAAAGAAAAAACGAAATATATTTTGTTTATCACTGTATGGTATACGCGATGCCCTGTATATCTTTTTTCCAGCATCTGTCCTTGCATCTTTTTCTTTCTTCTTTTCTGCCCGCTTTCACTGATTTTTCTCCTTCACTTTTCCAGGTTCTTTAACCTTCTTCAATACCATTCGATATTAGAAACGAATATCCTCGAGATTCTCTCTTTTCTTAATCATATTACGCAGTTTGAAAAGAAAAAATGGAACGACCAGTCATATTTTCATTTTTTCTTTGATCATTTCAGCCGACACATCGGATTATGCAGCTAAAAAATGAAACGAAAGTGCGTGACTTTGTTCACTATGTTCACCGGCAGTACAATGTTTTTTTAGATATTTTTTTTTATTTTGAAATTTTATTGTTAAAATCCAATTGATTATACACTTAATTGAAATTGTTTTACTATTGATTAACACTTTGAATCTGCTGTTCATGTAATTTTTTTGCACATATTCATCCTTATTTATTATGCTTTCTATCTTCTAGCTATTTAATTAGTTTTTAACATTTGCAACATTTATCAAAGTTCAATATATCATCAATTACTTTATATTCATATTCAAATATCATTCACGACAACATAAGATTAAAATAGTTTCTCGATCAATTTTAGTCGATCTTACGGATTGTACAATTGTAGATCGATTGAACAATCAAAATAATGTTAATAGTAAAGATTCGAATCCAACACATTTATTTTTATCTAATACAACAATAGCATGTGAACATGCATGCTCCTAGTTCTGCATCAGGTGAAGCTCTTAATGATGATGCTCATTACATCAATAGCTATAACAAGAAATTGAAAGTTGCAAAAAATAAAGCCGTAGCATTATCAAGAAATAACGATGATTTAACTACACCAATATCGGCACAATCATCACAAGTATGGCAATATGCCATACGTTGTCAAAATTCTAATTTTTCAATTTGTTGTTTATGTCCAAATGATAATAAAATTTCAATAAACAATGGGTGGACATCGACTTTACGTAGACATTTGATTACAAAATATTAACTACATTAATTAACATTACTAAGTAATAAACGTAAAAGAATCTCTTCATCATTCAGTAGCAATAAAAAACAAAAATTTATATGAATTGTTCACCAAATGTATGATACATGATGGGAGAACATTTAATGATTTTCAGAAACCCGGATTGAAACAAATTTTACAAGAACTCATTCCAGGTTAGTTTACTAAATAAGTGACTGATATTTATTTGAATTAGTACTTTCTCAAATAGTATATTAACAGATAGTAAATAATGAAATGAACACACTGATAATTTATGTCAGTTTATTCGTTATTAAATCTGTTTTTTTCTTATAGGTTATGAGCCTCCAAGTCGATTCTCAGTAACTCGTCATTTAAAACATCTTTATAAATTTCATGTGAAGAAACTAATTGATGATTTAGCATTAATTGATGATATTTCAATAACTCTGGATCTATGGAGCAATAAACAGATGCGATCATTCTTAGTAATTACTGGTCATTTTTTTTCAAAAAAATAGTTTTGACTTACAGTCTACGATTTTAAATTTTTCAACATTTAATGTTCATCATAAATATATTGATATTCTTCGAGTATTACAAGAGAAGTTAAAGGAACTTAATATATTACACAAGGTAGTTAGAGTGACTACTGATGACGGTCGAAATGTAGTACGTGCTATTCATGACCTGCACTTGAATTTAAAGCGTGTATGGTGTGTTGCACACCGACTTCATCTTTCTGTTACAAATGCATTTGGATTTTGAATCGTGAAGAAAGAAGATAATGAAAATGGTTCAAGTGCTTTGGGACAAGGTACTAAACAACTATTTGATATTTAATATTTTACAGTCTGATTAAACTTAAAAGGACTGAATGAATAAAATAAAAGGAAAAAAATTTAAATCAGATCATTAGTATTCGATTTTTTAACTGCCTTATTTCAGCAAATAAAAATTCTGATATTTCATTGCAATTGACTACTTTCTAGGAATATACTATAAATAATAATCAAACCAATTAGTATTCGATTTGCAGGTCTTCCATTGCTTTATTTTAGCAGCTATCACAGAGAGACTTGGTGATTATTCAGCCTTTCAATTCGTATATATATAATATTGATGAAATGTCTCACAAATACAAATATTTGTAATTTTTCTATTTTTAAAGTCATATTTTTCTTTTGTTTAGATAATTTGAATAACAGGCTGAATGATTCAGAACAGAAGGTAACAAATATTTAACAAATAGACAATAATGATGATATTATTGAACCCGGTGAACATGATGAAATCATTATAAATATTGCTGGTGATGAATCATCGGAAATATTTGATTCGAACGACGAAGAACAATTATTATTTGATAACAGTGATGAAGAATGCGTGGATAATTGGACAACAGATGTTATTCAATCAGATTATGATACTGTTCGTAAACAAAATATGATTTTATTTGTATTGAAAAAATGTCGTGGTTTAACGTCAATGATTAAACGATCAACAATTATTACATTATATTTTGATGCTGAACGAAAAAAATATTAAAAGATCGAACCTTATGTTATGATGTTAAATCATGTTGGAACAGTCCATTTTGTATGATTAATTCATTTATTATTCTTCGTGAAATTGTTCAAAACTTACTTAGTCAGAAGCACCAATTGAAGATCACACAGCAACACGTTAAAAAATTAGCTGCATACGAATTAACAAGTGGTGATTGGAATGTTTTGTCAGTATTACACTCGATTCTTAAACCATTTTATCTTGCCACCAAAGCAATATCTGGTCGTCAATATCCATCCATTGGATTGGCTTATTATTTACTTATGCGACTGAAACATTTTTTAGAACAGCACGACAACAAAGAAAGTTTATTAGAAAAACGACTTAAACAACTATCATTGAAGGAATTTTTGTATTATTTTGACAGTGAAGATGAACAAATGAAATTATTAAAGATAAGTGAATAAGATTTATACTACTGTTGGTGTCTATCTTTGCTCAGATTTTCTTAGTTACATAATTCCAATTATTAAAAAGAACATTGAACCACTACTATTGTAACCAAGAAAGCACTTTTCTGTTAAAGTTTAGAAGCAAAACACATATTATCAACTAAAAAATATCATATTTAAATATTGAACTAACTACATAGAGTAACAAGCAAGGTTGTTTTTGCAGAGAGTAAACATGAAAATTTTAAAGAAATTTAAAATCAAAACCGTATTTCTTTTCCATAGTTCGTTGTTTTATCGTAAATAATTACAGAAGCAATTAGTCGTTTTGAAAATCCTAATCGACCTATTGTTTGTACTGTTAGTTGCATGCGTATTTCGATCCTGCAGGATTTGCAGCATTAACTGAAATTGAAAAACGTTCAGCTGAACAAAACATCAAAAGAGAGATTGTTGATGAAGCGTCTCATTCTTCAATATCGGTAACAGATGTATTACCAATTACTACAACAACAACCAGCTTCACAAAAAAAACAGATTGAAATGGAAATTTTAAAAAAAGTACTATGGATTTATTTAATGAATCTGTTGGTGATATTCAATACGAAGAAAATCAAAGAGTTGAAAATAAAAGATCAACTATTACAAATGAATTTCGTCTTTATCGAAGATATACAACTGAATTCAATTTAAAACATAGACCAGATGCAGCATCAGCAACAACTTTTTTAAAGAATATATGGCGAAACGTTTCCAGTTTTAAAAGAAGTTGCTAAAAAAATGCTAAGCACATGTGCAACTTGGGTACCTAGCAGAAGTTGTTCCAGCACGTCATCAGCTTTACCTAGGAGAGAGCGTCCCCGTTTAACGCATGAAAATCTTTTGTCATGTGCGTTTTTGAAGCACAAAATAAACTTTTGAAATAGATTTAATTTTTAACCATTTTTTTTATTGATTTTATTGTTTTTTGTTTAATGATAGTGATGCTTGTCAGCTAAAAAGTTGTTTTATTCAGTAGATATTTTGTTTTTTGCTACGTGTACTTGGTTTTCCTTAACTTTTTTTTTATTCCGTTCTTCAATTTCATGTTATTTATCTAGATATTTGAAAGACGCATTTATTCTTTTTTTTACAAACTTGTTTTTCTACAATACTCATTTATTTGTTTTTTCTACTCGAAGAGTTTTACTTATAACTTATCTATCTAATTCATTGACGAAGATGCATTATTGTTCTTCACGTTTCTAAGTATATAATTATTGGTTGTCTGGAAAAAGACGTGCGTCTACTTTATGATCGTTTTTCGTTTATTTTAAACACATATGTTACATTAGTATATAATAATTACGATAACTCAGTGAAATTACCGAAAACCGATCATCACTGACGCTGATGATGTCAGTGTATCAGTCATCACTGGCACTGAACCTATCAGTATTCAGTACGCATCACTGTAAGCGATGAAAGTGTCAGTTGTTCCAGTAATTTCACTGATAGCGCACATGCCTAGATTAAGCTATCACCAGTCAGCTTTCATCATCGGATACTACATGTTCACTTCTACTAGGAACGCAAATCAGAATAGTTGAAACGCTATTGCGGCGAATGGGGTCAGCAATTACACTGCGGATTCCCAACGATCCATCCATAAAAAACAGTATTGTTCAACTTATACATGAATCGATAAAGCAATCGTCTATCCGGTTTTCACCGTTCGATACACCACTTTGCATTTAACTTCCAACACAAATGAGAACACTTACAACGCTTCCTGAACGCATTGGAAGAGAAACTACTCTGAGGGGGCCGTAAGGCGAATGCCGACAAATAAATATTTATAAACTATTCATCGAATACGGTCACCTACCAGTCAGTCATTAATACCATTAGATAGAGAATGTTAAAGTCTACTTGGAACACAAATTAGAATACTTCGGGCGTTTTCCTAATGAATCAGCGGACCAAATACTTGGCAGGTTTCTTAAGCCAAATGTGTACATATACATATTTCACTGCTTATGATAGAATGGATTCAGCTACTGTCATGCAATCTTCACCATTAAAAACCCACTATTCAATTCAACTTCGAACAAAAACTAACAACTTTCCGAACACTTCCCCAACGAATATCGACGAGTATTCAAACTCATCACAACGGCGCCTATAGGGAAAACCAAAATTTCGGAACTTCCCACGCAAGCGATTAATCAATCGTCAGTCAGTGTTCACCATTGCGTAGAACATATTCAAATCTACTTTCGAACGAAACGACAACTCTAAGCATGCTTTCTAAAAGAAATCCGACAGAAAACATTAATGCAACGTAATAATTAAAATGCGCAGAAGTCAATATTTTTAAAAACTCAAGAAAACAAATTTAAGTCTCTCCATTCCGTTTTCACCATTGCAGAGAGCCTATTGAATTCCACCTGGTACCAAAATGACAACACTCAGACTGCTTTCTAAAGGAATTGATGAAGAAATCACTAGTGGAACGTCATAATTAAAATCCGCAAAACTGAATATTTTCCAAAATTTAAAGGAATCGATTAAGTTATCTTCATTTCGTTTCCACCATTG